GAAGAAATCATATGTTAGTGTTAACCCCTTAAGAACAATTTACTTGCTTAAAGAACTTTTAGGCGCTCAGAGAAATATTTTGAGCAAGCCTTGATATGAACATTTTTTCTTACTTTAAGTTAAAGGAATTTTCCTCTCCCTTTCTTTCTCTCATATCTTGTGTATATCCCTTTACTTATTTTGTATATGTAAATAAACATTTTTTCTTCTATTGTTACGCCTCAAGCAGGAGTTTGAGTCTTTATTCTTCCGCTAAAAGAGAGAATTGTCCGCTCTAAACTTTTAAGCCATTATTGTTTTTATCAATTCTGTCACCTTTAACCTTAATCCTTTCATGTTGGAAAGCCGGAACAAATTTCACACACTAGGCGACAACGTCGTCTTGGAGGCGCTGTACATTCTTAAAATGTTAAGTATACAGGTGGAGGACTCTATAATTTTAACAGAACAGTAAAAACCACATTTTGTATACACATTCTTTATCTTTTTTTTCCTATATATTTACATTTTAAAGTCAACTAATGACCAGCATCTTGTATGGTCCAGCACGATAACTGTCACATAGCTGTACCAACCACAGCTTATTTCTGGGGATAGGCGCTGTTTAAATGCAATAAAATGTTAACACCTGATTTTGACCATGATGCATTAATTCTTCTCCATTTACCAGTGTCATTTTAATATAAATTGTTGAAATATTTATGTACTGCTAATTACAAACCGTATACAAAAGATTTGAATAACCAAAAGTACATTAATAGTGAATCTAATCATCCCCCATTACACTAAAACACTTATTAACTCCAGCAGTAAGTATATATTTAATGAAAAAAATTAAATATATAAAACCCTTAGATCAAAGCAATCACAAAGTAAATATAGAATAATAAAAAAAAAAACAAAAGAGATAAAAATAAACAGATACCATAATGTGTTATGGTGTCCCCCCACGCACACACACACACTCCACTTTTTTACTGCGCAATTTAAAAACTAATGTTGGCAGAATTTTCATGAATATACACAGTTCAACAATTTTGCAATATTAAAGGAGATTTTTAACAAAAATAACGTAAAGATCAGCTATAACTGCGTTAGAAATATCGAAAAATCTATATCCAACCATAACAATATTATATTGGTTAATTATATCACTAGGAAAAAATAACAAAAAATAACGATACTAGACTTATAAGTAATAAATGTAACTGCCGAAACGATACGATCTGCCCGCTAAATGGCAAATGTATTACTAAGAATATTGTATATCGAGCGAACATACATTCTAACAACAATGTTAAATGTTATTTTGAGTAGAAACAAAAATAATACTGCTCTCATCAAACATTTCTGGCAATTAAAAAATGATAGTAATACACCCATAATTATGTGGAATACAATAGCTAAAATCAAATGCTGTAGTGGGAAAGGCGGAAGAAAAAAAATTAAAACATTTAAATAGGCCTGACGATTGCGTCTAGCATGAAACAGTCTGTCGCTTCAAAGTTCACTTTTTTTATTTATATACGCTCTATCTCTGATATTAAGCACTTTATCCCATAAATATATCACACCTTAAAACTGTATTTCCTCATATATATATATATATATATATGAAGAAATATAGTCTTAATATGTGCTATATTTATGGGATAAAGTGCTCAATATCAGAGATAAAGCGTGTGTAAATATAAAAGTGAACCACAGACTGTCGCCTCTAAGTGTTGACTTCTATGTTCACTTTTATATTTATATATATATATGCATATATATATATGTATAAATATGCTTATATATAAAAGTATGAATATATATGTATATATATATATACATACATGTATATATGTATATATTTATGTATCTACGTGGATAACTATTTTTGTTTATATATGTATATATATATATTTATATATATATATATATATATATATATATATATATATATATATATAAATATCACTGTATATCTGTATATATACCAATGTCATGGGCGCGTGGCCGAATGGTTAGAAAATTCGCTTTCTCGGGTTTGAATCTCATCATGGTCGATTTGTCAGGAATGTGACTTCCTGATTTTATCGGACTGGATAGAGGTTGATCCCAGCGTGCGGCACCTCTGGAAATTGCCTGAAAAAGCCTTGTGAGTGAAATTGGGTTGACGGAACACTTGTGGGCCGTAGATAGCTGTGGTAGCACGAAGCCACAAGTCATCGTTGTCAAGGGCTTGAACTTGCTGGCCTTCTTCAATTTGTTGATCACGCTAGTAAACACGCTCTCTCCCAGAAATAAGGCCTGCTCAGCGTAGTTACAGTATAAACCACAGATGGTGGTCTATGTGTGTTGAGCTAACACAAATATGCCTAAGTGAGCGTCTCAAATAGTAGACGGGTATCCTCGAATACGAGTGGCCAGCTATTATATATCTATATCTATATATATATATATATATATATATATATATATATATATATATGAATATATAGATGAATGTATATATGAATCGCGCGACAACTACTTTGATGGTGCAATGATTTCGATATTAATGGGTATTTTTATTTTGTATAAGATAAGCAAATTAGTCTATATTGATGGTCATGGATTGTACCGTGACGACGGGCTGATGGTTGTATCCCCTAACAGAAGGGCTAACGCCAGTATTGGAAAGAAGCTTTTTCAGTTATTTGAACACCTGGGCTTCAAAATAACTGATTTAAATTTGAAATCTGTCCAATATTTTGATGTAGAATTCAACCTCACTACTGGTACGGTTTCACTATACATAAAGCCAAATACTACCCTAAGGTACGTGAATACTAAATCAAACCACCCTCTAGTTGTTATCAAGCAGATCCCCAGAGGAGTTCAGTGCAGACTGTCTTGTCACAAACCTCCTATTCCTAGGAGGTATAGCTTCCAACTGCCTTCTACTCTCCAGTAGCATTTCTCTCTTCCTCTTCAAAGGAAACGGTTGACATTTGAACTGTCCAATAACAACCCATAAAAAATACCAGCAGGTTCTTTGGGCCAGTAACACAGTGAGTCTTTTTTTTTCTCCCATCAGCTCAAAATTTTAAAACATAAGGATAAAGAAAGATCGTATTGAGAAAGAGTATTATGGACAGACGAAACCAAAATTGAGTTGTTTGGACGTAATTCTAGAAATCATGTATGGAGGAAAGATGGCGATGCCTTCAAACAAAAGAACACAGTTCCAACAGTGAAATTTGATGGTGGCAGTATCATGGTTTGGGGATGTTTTTTTCTGCAATAGTTACTGGCAAAATATCAGTAATACATGGTAGTATGAATACCGCAGCTTATCAAAATATTTTGGAAGCAAATTCAATGATTCCGGTTGAAAATCTCGAACTTCCAACAAGATAATGATCCTAAGCACAGTGCAAAATCTACGAAGAAATTTCCTGAAATGGCCAATTCAGTCCCCTGATTTAAACCCAATCGAGAATCTGTGGTGTTATCTGAAAATTCAAATCCAATCAAGAGCTCCAACAAACATCCCGTATCTGAAGACATATGCAATACATTTGTATTGTACAAATACTTTTTTCACCCATTAAAATGGATAGATGGGATTTTTCTATGCACATTTAATCATGCATCTGTGTACAGTTAATTATATATTTGTTACTGATGACAATATTGGAATTGTTTTTTTAGTGCTTTTGCAGCTGTTTTTAGTTTTGTTGTTAGCATATTATTATAGTTGTTGTGAGGAGAGCGGTCTCTTAAGCCTTCGGCCTTAAGAAGGTCTCTCAGGTCTGCATGAATTGTTATGTCTCCACGCAGCTCAAGTTTGGATAATGATTGGTGTAGAACTTCAATTTCAGTCTTCTTTGTAAGAAGGTCAAATTTAGGTTTAGGAGATGGCAATTTGGCCCTAAATTTAAGAATTGTTTTTGGTCATCTGTTAATTTATGACTAGATAGGTTTATATATTTATCACTGCTATCAGATGATAGAATGTTTCCTTGGCATAGTTTACGTAGTATTTTGTAATTATTTGTCTGTGTGTAAGTTGGTGTTCATTAATGCTATGATTAGGATGGTACAGTTCTTCCTTATATTCAGGTTCGGGCAAGGCGTTTTTACTGTCTCATCATGTTTGTTGATTTCATTATTTTAATGTTGGATGCCATTTTAGCTGTTTTTATTTGCCGTAAGACGAGTTTATTTCTGAATGTTGTAGTATGACATTGTTGGCTGCCGGATCGTGTAGTTTGATAATTTGTATTTAGGCAACAATCCCTCTTTTATACATGTTTCCTAAAAGACAACTGACAAGGTACTGCGATTAAGCATTTTATTTAATTTTTCTTGTGCTCGTATAAGTGTTTTCTTTTCTGGACACAAAGTGTGTAAAAACTATCCAAATGTTCTGCATTTCCAAGCACTTTCGTCTATAATTTTAGCCATTATCAAATCTCAGTGAGTTCTAATGGAGCTGTGGTCGGGTAGGTGTAACGTAAGTCGTCTGGATAGGCATGTAGTAGTGTGACCAATGTAATTATTTATGAGTTTGGTTTGACTCCACCCGAAACATACTAGTAGAAAATACAAGCATAATACCATCATCCACATGTAAAAAAATGATTAAAAATAATGAAAGCCCTAATAATAAAAAAAATAAAAGAAACAACACTCAATAACATTAACTACGAACACAGCCACAATGTGCTGACCGTGTGTGTAAAATATCCCTATAACTCTAGATACATTCACACAACCCATACATTCAGTTAAAAAGTAAAAATAAAATCATTCTTGATAATGGCTAAAAGTATAGCCGAAAGCGCTTGAAAATGCACAACATTCGAACAGTTTTTACACATTATATATATATATATATATATATAATTTTTCTATTGATAATCTCAAAATACATTTTACGTTATGGGAGTGGACATATAGCTGCAATTGTGTATTTGCAGATTAACGCGAAGGACATCAGATATATTTATTGTTCTTTTTAGGATACGACCATGTTGTTTGTTGGGGGATTGCTAGTGGCGATCGCAATTGAAACCTGGCAACTTCATAAAAGAATTGCACTCCGCATTTTAATGTTATTTGGGTCAGAACCAAGATGGTAAGCAAAATCTTTTTTACGCTTTAATTACATTATAATTTTAAAAATTAATAATTAAACTCTTTGGTGTTTTTTTTGTTTTTTTTATAATCGAGTTTACATATTTTTGCCGTTTGCTTTGTTACGAAATCTAAGAATTATTTGGTGTAGTGTTCTCGTTTTCATCGCATCATTTCAGACGATATGTTCTTCAGTCTGCATCAAGAATATATCAAAAATATTGTGTCAGCCTCTCAGTTGGTGTCAAGACTATCCAAATGCAGAAAGATACACCCACACACCTTCAAAAGTGGATACCTGTTTATTGTATTTATGTCTACCTTTTTAACTCTGGTGCAAACTAAACCTATTTCTATCTTTCTGCTGTTTAGAGATGGGGATATTAGTTTGAATGAACAATGGACTAATGAAAACATTTAATCTGCAAAATTCCACATATCAGTTGTCTATTTTTCGCTTTCATCAGAAAAAATACAAACACCGGTTGCAAACATCAATAATTAACGATTATTAATTTTTGTCATTCTACTGTCAATGGTAAATGGTTCAGCTGGGAAGAAATCATCAGCTTGCTGCAAGACTTGAACTTGTGTTACTTTGACCTCGAAGAGCCTATAGAATAATGGCTTGAGTAATTGCGATGGGAAGCAATTGAAATTAAAATGAAAGAAATCCTCGTCAAAATTTCAATAAGGATGATCATGTTTAATTTAATAATTCAAAATGATATTGCTGTTAATATCACTAGTGTATATAAGCAAAATATCAAATATGACCGCGCCAAGAGTTTAGAGCAAAAACGAAAAAAAAAGAATAAGTCTGTAGTATAATATATTTGAACTTCTGCAACCATTGTGACTTATAACTGAGACGGTAATGATTAATAAAAAGGATGTATGTTCGAGTTTCGCTGGAAGCCTATAATTTCCGATCCGCACTCTACTAATAGCCGTAGAATGATAGCTTGAGTACTTGCGATAAAAAGCAACTAAAATTAAGATAAAAGAAATGCCACTCAAAAAATACTTAGTAGTGAATCCCGATAAAAAAAATAAAATAAAATATAAAAACAAAATATATAAACAAAAAAAAAAAGAATTCAAAATAAAATAATGCATTTGCGAAGGTACCTACACTTTTTCGCTAAAAAACGGCATACCATAATAAAAAAAAAAGCCCGAAACTTAATAGAAACAAAGTTTTATCATCAAAATGTTTGTTATTATTAAGACAAAAGACTAAACTATTTTTTAAATTATTTTATTATTTTTTTAATCCTTTCTACCACGTTCGAAATTTTGGTTAAACATCATTTTTTTTCGTCAATGGTGTAGCAAAGCTGACAATGATAAGTTTAGCGCCTTTTTTTCTGGTAAAATAACACACTGATTTGGAAATTCTTGCAAAAATCAAATAATTGTCGACGTTTAAATTAAACTTTCAGGACTAATTCACAAATGAATAAAAATTATTTTTGAAATTGTTATTAGAAAATTTTAGTAAAAATATATTTTTCCCATCTGCTACTCCTCACTTACTTAATTTCATGAAATTTCGAGAAATTAAATTCTGATCGCAAACTTTGTTTTAGTAGTTAAAAGCTGAACTCCTTGGAGAATGTAAATCATCCATTTTTGTTTTCAAACTGTTACTATTTGGAGTAGATTTTCGGGAAAACTCTAAAATAAAAAAATGCAATAAAACTATGACATTATTTCATTAGATAAGCTTTTAATGGCTTTTATAAATAATGCATAACTGGGACATTATGGTCTTAAGATAAAAACATTTTTTTGATGAATAATGAATTTTTATAAGAATTGTTTTCATTTTTATAAATTATAATAATTTATAAAACTTCAAAAATATTTTAAAAATTCTTTAATCGCGTAAGGGCAGTAAGTGATTTACTAATCAAAAATTGAAAAGCTTAATACAAATCATCACGCACTAAGATTTTAAAATAATTTTAAACATTTTTCAGGTTTATAAACGTGTCCATTTTGAAAATATGGGTGACCATACACAACATGATCAGAAAATAAGATCGAGAACTATAATACATTTAAAGTAAAAATTCCTAAAATTAGATTACGGAAAATATTTTCCAACATGTTTCAGATTACTGAGTACTTAAAAAATATAATAAAACGAGTTCACCTGTAATTTTCTTATGTTTTAACAGATAAAGTCTCCGTAGAAGAACAATAAACCTGTCAACACCTTATCAGTGCTCGTCAATCCCGTAACAAGTTCATAATCACCACTACTGGTTTTTTTTTAAAATCAATATCTGTGTTATTTTAAGCATAAAGTAAATATTTTTTTTCCAAAACAGATTAATTATACTTTAAATCAACTAATATTCATTAAATAAAGTTTCAAAAAAGTATATTTTATTTTTGGATGATTTTTTAATAAAGAAATTTACATTGTGATGTTAAATGACTAAAAAAGGACACTAATCAGCGATTTTAGTCCCCAAAAGTGAATCCATTCGACAATATAGTTTCTGTGTGAAATAGACTACAGAGTATTTTTCTTACTGGAAATAGTGAATTTAACCCTTTAGATTTCAATTAAAGCTACAATGAAAGCTTCAAGTAAGTTTTTTTTATTTTTTTAAATTCATTTCAAACCTTTGTTATCGCGAATTAGTGGAGGTATCTACATTTGCTCTTTCCTTTAAAATCCTGTTTAAATTTCTCTCTCTATGCCTTTCTCTCAACTAATGAGAAGGCAACCCTCAAATAAAAAAAGAGGAAAAAGAAAAGACTGAACGCGGCCACAAAACGGCGTAAGATTCCTGAACCAGAGTCTAGTCATTTGTGAGTAAAATCTATCAAAAATCAGAACGGTTCCACGCATAACATCCGCTAAATAAATAAAAAATAAAAAATGAAAAAGAAAGGAACGACAGAAAATAAAATAATTTTGGCCAATCATAAAAATTAACACAAAGAGACTTTTGATGTCAGCTGAAACCAAGGTTTGCTCCAGTAGTCTGGGATAATTGTCAAAAGTATATAAAGTTGCAGAAGAGAAGGGCCCCCAAGAGGAACCCTGAACAAGAGATGGGACCGCTGGAGAAACAAGCCATGCGTGGGGTGTGAAAACATTAATCGGTCATCTGCTTAATGAAAATTTTCCGCCCTTCTTAGAGCCGAGAAAAGACAGCAGTTTGACGCCGGTCTATTTCTGAGATGACTACTACTGCTACCAAGTTCTGACAATGAAATTACCCTCTATCGAATCGAAACAGACTCTCTCCCGACTGATACTAACATCTGCCTTATAAACGCACATTTACTACACCGAATATCAAAGGAATCGCTTTACTCTAAATCAAATTTGTATAGACCCTTGAGTAAGTTCGTTTATTCCAAAGTTTCCGATAAAATAATACCAAGTGCTCTCGGACACAACTCTCCACAGCTTCATCTAATAATAAAAGTTTATCATAATATGGTAATAAATTATTTATATTATTTACATTGTTCGGACTTTTGCCCTCATCTTTATTGACATATTCACGAACTTTCAGCTTCTTCAGGTGATTGGAATTTCGAATTGAACCCTTTATTTCGTCCACCGGTGTAGGTTGTTTTAGTTCCACGTGCCATGCCTCTTCCGGATGTCTCAGTTAACTCCCTTTAGCTCACAACGGCCAAAACGTCGTAAATATGACAATAAAGATGAGGACAACAGTCCAAACAATGTAAACAATTATAATGCCTCATCTCAGAAATATAGAGAGATGATAATGAATGTTGATTTGCTTTCTGATAGTGAGTATTACCAACTTGGCATTTCAGCTAAGGCATTAGACTCCTAGTTTTGGCTACAAATAAATCCAGTTACGGAAATTTTATTCTTGGCTGATACTTCTAACATCAACAACATTTCTAGAGAAAATCCACAAAAAGTTTATATTATTATAAAATTTTTAATGCATTAAAATCAAAAAGATTTTTTAAAAACTGCTTTTTCTTAAAAAGCAATAAAAATAAAAATAAACCAAGTAATATTTAAAATGTAATAGTCAGGAATAACACTGCATAACTGTATAACACTTAAAATCTAAAATAGGTAGCATTAAAGGGGGTTTGAGGCATATGAAAAATTCAAATAGATTATCAAAATCAAGTCTTCAAGCACCAGGAAAGAATATCTTAAGTAACCAACAAGAACAAACTTAATGAGAAAAAATAAGCATTTGTAAAAACATTGTGTGAGATGGCTGGAACCCTGATCTCAAGTTGGGATCCAGAGCTATATATATATATATATATATATGTGTGTGTGTGTGTAAAAATTTCAAATAGAGTATATCTGTAAAAGGAGATTATAAATAAAGACAAAAAAGAGATATATTAGCCGAAATGTAAGTTCTTATAAAACACTATGTTCGATTTCTTCTTATAAGTTGTAGTGATAACAACAAATAAATCATTAAATAACCTCTAACCCTTAGTACTAGACCATGTAGGAAATAATAAATAAAAATAAAATAAAAATTAATTAATAGAATTACTTTAAAATATAAATAAAAATTATAATTAACATTAAATAAAGAAAAGATATATTATAAAAAAAAGGTTAAATAAATATAACTCCCATCATGCACCGGAACAGGCGAGGTTTTTTTTTCGGTGTGGGGGGGGTCCAATTGAAAGAGAAACCAAAATTTTCTCTCTTCCTCTTCGACGGCTAAATGAAGCACATGTCCGGGGATAGCACAAGTTGCTATCAAACCAGATAAGCAAAAGCTTTTTTATCTCAGTATATGTATATATTCTTTAAAATATTTTCTCTTAAATGTATACGAATGCTTTTAATTATTTTCTTTTTAAGCAAATCGCCCAGAGCAAGGTAGGAGTGTCACTAGCACGCAAGGGATTACAGAGAGTGAGAGTAAGAGTAAAGAGGAGTGTTTGGAAAAAGGATAAAGAACGGGACAAGGATCAAAGTCAAGTCATCAGAAGATGTCGATTGACATT